AGGATGGATACACACACACTCTGCAATGAAGTATATAAAAATAGTGTCCTCCTCTTCCTCCTCCACTTCTCCTCCTCTGCTAAACGGGATTGAAAGATAAAACATAAGAGCATCCGATCCAGTCCCGCCCGCGTCAGTGCCCCGCATATTCTCGCGCTCCTTTCTTCCTCCCTCCCCTCCCATACATCATTGCATACCCAACCTCCCACTTTCCCTCCCTGGCTGCTTCCCTCCATCTCTCGATCCCCACCTTATAGCACACCCACCCTCCCTCTTTATCCTCCTTGGTTCCCTCCCTCCCTCCACACACATATATACACACGCACTTGTTCGCGGAAATGCGACGCAGCCAAACACAGGAGAGCGGTGGCGCCCCCTACCCCGTGGCCACATAGCCGCCCCACCATGCTTCTGCAGTTTGACGAATCTGTGTTCTCACGTTGATGAGCTTCTTTGTACGAGACGCAGATATCAAGAGCGTCGCTATGTACTGTAAAGTCACTTATTTTCGTGGATCCAAATTTTCGTGGTTTCGATAAGAAAAACACACGTTCGTGGATTTTTAAATTCGTGGATTGAAATCGTAGAACCGGCACGTGACATCTGTACATCGTATTTCGTTGGGAACGTAAGTTCGTGGATTGATAGACCCACGAAATCCACGAAAATTGGTACCCCACAGAAAAAAACGAATAGTACATAAGGAATTATACAGCATATAAGATCAAGATGATAATATCGTCACCAGGCTGCAGGAATCTCCGTGACAACCAACGGCAGCGGCGTCGACAATCAAGCCGTCGCGCATAAGTTACCGCGTACGCGACGGAAATGCCGAAAGAAACACACGACTTCCGCGAGCTTGGAGGCGTGCTACCAAGGCGTGTGCGCAGATATGCCACACCTGATCCTGTAGGGGGGTATATTCTCACTCTGTCCTTCAGACCGACTGTGTGCAGCGAAGGGAGGCTGTGGACAGGAGTGTGAGGCAGACAGACCCATAGGCGTGTGCAGGGTTGGGCAGCGGCGACACACACGCGCACACGTGTGTGCGTGCGAGGGCATGGTATGCAGTCCTGCCGTGCGGGAGAGCGAGTTGGTGGACAGGGAACAAGTGGGGCATCCAGTCCGGCGGTGGTGGGGCGCAGTCCTCCGGTGGGCGCGGCAGTCCTGTGGGGTGGGGTGGGGTAGCTCAGTCCTGACAGTAGAGTTCAAGTTGCGGGCGTGGTACGGGCGGGGCATGCAGTCCTGTGGCGGGCGTGGCAGTCCTGTGGCGGGCGTGACAATCCTGTGGCGGGCGTGGCAGTCCTGTGGCGGGCGTGGCAGTCCTGTGGCGGGCGTGGCAGTCCTGTGGCGGGCGTGACAGTCCTGTGGCGGGCGTGGCAGTCCTGTGGCGAGCGTGGCAGTCCTGTGGTGGGCGTGACAGTCCTACAAACGTTAAAATGTGTCCCCCGGATTCGAATACTTCGGATTTTCTTAGGCTTTTTACAGTAATTAAAGGGAGATCTATCTATATTATATATAAGCATGTATGAATGAACGAATAAATGCGCGAACAAAGCCAGCGCGAATAGACCTCTTGTTGTATATGTAATATAGAGGCCGCGTGGGAGCAGTTGTGTTTTTTTTACTATACTCTTAATTATAAGTACTACCAGTAGTATCAGTATTATACATTATCAGTATTATACATTAGATTTATTTATCGCACGAATCACACGATTTCTCTAAACGCCGCGTGACCTGGGAGCGGACGGTACGTACCTGTCATACCAGGTGGCAGCGCCATCAGCTCTTGTTTTGTGTGCGGCGGCGACTGTGACCCGGCCTTGTCTCGGCTGTCGTCGCTGTCATCCTCCTCCACGAGGTCGTTGAGAATCTTCCTGCGTGCAAGACATGAAGAGGAAGGGGAGGAGGTTGAATTGCATGTACACCTTGCATTATATATGGTGTGATATAGTGTGTTCGCGATTAATCGAGTTCGTCGATCGGCATGTACTCGTTGCGCTGCCGAGTGTTGATTTAATCGAGTAGGGAAATCGGCGATCGAGTACAAACTCGAACATTTTTTCGTTTGCTTTTTTCTTTGATATGAATTTGACTGAGGCAGTTATGTTGTGCAAATGAACCTTTAGGGGATAGGGTTCACGACACAGTTTTTACCTCGTTCGTAACCGCTAACAGTAAATCGTTAATTTACTATACCATAAATTAACTGAGCTACACATACGAATAATGTCAAGTATTCTTCGCAAATACACCGGTTGTGTCGACGATGAGTGCGGCGTCATCCCGCGTCGTCGCCACAAAATTAAAAATGATCGGACGCTTAATCGATCATTCGTCGTTTTGTAAAACCAATGATCGATCATGAAATTTGGGACCGATCTCCAACACTAGTGGATATGTGGTGAATGAAGAGTCTGGACAGCGCTCTAGCAGGCACAGCCTTACTGAGTTTCCACAAGTGGATTTAGTTTGGCTGGTTGGATGTTTGCCATTGTATATTATATAAAGTTTGTGTTAAGAAGTTGCTACACAAAGTTTAAGGCAGTGAACAATTATTATAATGGCGGAGTAAAATTAAGGAAGAAAAAAAGAGATGGTCGCATAGGACGGCATCTTAGTTTGAATATTTAGATGGTCCTCCTAAAGTTTCAAATTGTTTCTAAAAGTAATGGCGGCGTGCAAGCGTAGAAAGAGATTTTACATGGTGATCAGAAATGGAAATTATTCCACGGCTACAATGAATGTATCAAGACGATACGCAGAATTGATTTTATTCCCTTTTAAAATATTACTTGCGCTTAATAAAATTGTGTCAGTAGATTTAGTTGAAACCCATAACGGTCCGGTCGCGTCGGCGCCTGTTTGAATCTGATGGTCCCTCTGATTATTTGGAATGGTGGGCTACGGACCATCGCTTATTGTCGACACCTAGATAATCGAATGTGACGGCTTTCTAGAAGAATGG